ATCCATGTGGATGAAGATTATAAGCAGAATGTGTATAATAAATATCAGAAGAAAAAACTATTTTCATCTTTTCATTAAATTGTCACCTGTGTCGTCTAGGCGTGTAATGGTATAATGACTGTTTATAATTCTGTTTATACCCAATCACAGTTAGATGAGGGGGGGGGGGGTTGTAAAATGTTTAATCTGCTCAAGTTACAGCTATTTCCAACAGTGGGCTTGTGTCTCTTTCAATGCCATCATACTGCAAAGTATTTTTTTAACTTTTAAAAGTTTTTTATATCTGCTCGTCATATATCAAGAAATGTATTGTGTTGTTTATTGGAAGCCTGTGTTATCTTCTTTCTATTTGAAGCTTATCTGAAGTTTTGGTAACTGTATTTTCATATATAACTAGTAATTTAATTTATGTAAACACCTTTGATGTTAGAAATATTTCTGAAAATATTTAAATTAAACAATGTAATAAAGCAGAAATGGACTTCAAATAGCAACACTTTTATTTTTGTTATCAGTTGTAGCATAATCTCTAGTAGTTACAGTTAAGGCTTTTATGTTCTTTTCTTTATTATGTGATAAAGCTTTTCTATTCCTTAAGATAACTATTGAAATTTATTAGACACATACGGAAATAAACTTGTTAATTAACAGTTCTTATGAAATATCTGCAGTTATGTAACACTTCATTGATATCTGTTCAGGTGACACACTAGAATTTATTCAAACCCATAACCAGATAAATGGTGTTGAAAATTTCACACTTGATTCTTTATGTCGTCTCATCAACCTGTGCAACAGAGATTTTAATTTAGCTGATGATTATGATATTTAATACACTTAGCATAAACATGTTAATAGCAAAAACCTTTAAAATATACATAATGTAAAAAATGTTCTACTTGGAAAGATAAACCAAGACTTCACACAAGCACACACACCAGGAATATACTTATAATATGTGATGAAAATGTGAATACACAATTTAAAAAATCTACATTCTATGTCCACCAGCAAATCCACAAGAACACATAGTCTCACACATGCAATGCTTATCACTAATTAACATCTTCTATAAGTCCTGTACAAAATAATTTAGGGACTCACTCTGGTGAAAACAGAAAAGCCATTTTATTGCTACCAATGTAATAAGCTATACAGCCAGTGACAATCCTTAACCTACCACATGCAGCATGTTCATCTAGTCTATTGATTCAGTCACAGGAATCTGACATTCGACTGCCTGATTTATTTATGTTTTATTTATGTATCTTGGTAATTATCAAACCAATACAGCATTTTGATAGTAGTGACAGTTTGATTTTGAATGATGACTGTTACAATTGCCTTTTTTGTAACTTTTAATATTATTTAACTTATTTTATTTTTAGTTCATGTAAATTATCAAACTATTTAAATTACCACAAGTTCTAATGTGTTGTACTGGGCTTTGTCCTAGTAGAGGTGATGTCACCATTAGCTGTGTTTTAACACTATCTTAACCAAATTCTCCTCTTTGCTTCTAAAGAGCTAATCAGTACACAACTTTGTTTTTTTTATTTTCTGTTTTTAAAATGTACATTAATTTGGTTTTAAATTGTCAATTAAATAGAAAATTCAATCAAGCATAAATATTTTGCATAATAAAGGTCTTAATGTTTTGTACTGGGCTTTGTCCATCAGTAGAGGTAATGTCACAATTAGCAGTGTTTTAACACTATCTTAATTAACCAAATTCTCCTCTTTATTTCTAAAGAGCTAATTATTACACACATTTTTTTTTTTTTCTGGTTTTTTTTTAAATTTACATTAATTTGGTTTAAAATTGTCAATTAACTAGTTAATTCTGTCTAATCTGAAATATAGGCCTATTTTTGTTTATTTTAAGTTTTATTTACTTGTTGGATTCTTTAAAGTTGGTAATTATGTTTATTAATTCTCAGCAGTAAATCATTATTGTTGAGATTCATTTCTAATGTTGTTGGTGTTGGGTTGCATTTATTGAACTGGCAAAAAACATATTTAGTTTCCCTTTCAAAATGTGAATGTGCTCTGGAGAATTGCAAAACTACCATAATGGTAAACAGAGAGTGATCGAGTTTTCAACTGAGACATTTGTGTGTGATGTTTGTAAAAAATCCTTTGAATCTTCTTCACATTATTCTTCTCATAAAGTTATGCATACTATAATTAAGTGCTACAAATGTTGTCACTGCGATAAAGGTTTTATCAGTGCAGAGAATATGATCTAAAATTAGTAACACATTTCAGAAAAAAACTTTTAAAAGTGACATATGTACAAAATATTTTGCAAAAAAAGTTATTTAAAGATTCATATAAGAAGGCACACTGGAGAATTAAATTACAAATGTAAAAACTGCAACTATGTAACAAACCAACAAACTGGGTTAAGAGAACACACAAGAATACATTCAAACACTCGACCAAACAAATGTCAAGTTTGTGACTGCAGCGGTTTGTCAAACTGCTTTTGTTCATCACACAAGAACTCATTCTGGTGAAAAGCCATATTGTTGTAATTTATGTGATAAGAGATTCACACAATTTATTATCTTAATCCGCCACAAGCAAAAAATTCATTTAGCCTAATGATTCAGTTTAAAAAAGTTACATTCTGCAATGACATAAAGCACAATTTTACTAAATAAATGTTAGTGATGTAACTATTCTACATTTAAAAAAAAAACAAATACTAGACTTCAATTTTATGTGCCTGATACAAGCTTTTATATTGTTATTTTTAGACATCTTAATATATTTTTCTATACCTAAAGAGGATTTAAATTCAACAAGATATTTCAGTTTTTGTATATGTAATGTAAATCATAAAAAGTAAATTAATATGGGGATTTTTTTATCATCTTAATGGTCATGATTAGAGCTCTACTTCATTGCAGAAAAAGCTAACATAATATTAAGAACATTATCTTTTTCCCCATTCGTTTCAGAATGCACTTGTTCAATAAAAAGCTATTATTAGTTTTTAATTTTAAGTCACTGCATTCCAACTTTTAAATTTCTTTTTCAAACTGTTAAGCTTTTATTTAGTATCCTAATGTTTTGGCCATGTTTGTTCTAGGCAAACTTCATCAGAGAATTTATTGTTATTTCCAAAAAAATATTTTTAAAGATCAAAGCCTTATCACACACTGTACTTATTATAAAATTGTGCTTAGAATTACAAAATGTTACATATGTTGTCATTGGTAAAAGTTTTAAAAGTGGAGAAGAATCTACATTAAAGACATATTTTATGCAAAAGCTTTTAAAAATGAAAATGTGTGAGCTATGTTATGTAGATAAGATAAATGTTATCTAAATGATCATATTAAATGACAAATGGAGAATTAATTTATAAATGCAAGAAATGCAATTACATAACATGTCCTTGATCTGCCATGTAGCCACACTGTAAGATAAATCAGATCCTGAAACAGGAAAATGTCAAGTTGAGGTTGTTAAAAAACTACACATCTATAATAATAGTTTCGCTGTCTGTGTATCTATGTATCTATCTATCTGTCTGACAAGAACGCTCTAGAGAAAACACAAGCAATTTAAAAACTCTCACAGTAATTCGAAAAACGAAGTATGACGCGGTCACATTTAGCATAGAGTAGAAAATAATCTCACGCCGGAGAGTACACACAGTAATATGACGTCATTGATTCTCGAGTAAACATTGAATGAAAAGGAAATTTTGTCTAATCTAAATGGTTTGCGTGAAGAGTTTCTTGCATACAATTCTTCGGGTAGGGGCGAAGCCCCACCCCCCGCGTAAGAACGTCTGAGCCCCCCCCCCCCTCCCCAACTCAAAAGAAATTTCTTCATCGATACTCTATAATAAAATTACCGCCTAATTAATGTGTCTAATCTAAAAAGTGGTTTTCTTGCAATTTCTTTAATACAATTCTTCGGGTAGTGGCTAAGCGCGACACCAGTGTTTCTTTCAGACTTTTTCCTCCCCGGAGAGGGGTGGGGGTACTTGAAATTTTCGGTGTCGGAGGTAGAATTTTCGGGGAGGGGCGGACACTGGAAAAAGTATATAATTATATTTCGTTTAATGGGACGGTAGACATGTTTTTTTAGGGGGAAGTGGAGGGTGTGGGGTGGGGGGGGGGGGGGGGGGTGGGGAGTAGGGGTGGTTTTAATTTAGACTTTTTCCTCCCCGGAGAGGGGTGGGAGTAGGCTACTTGAAATTTTCGGTGGCGGGGGTAGAATTTTCGGGGAGGGGGCGGACACTGAAAAAGGATATAATTATATTTCGTTGAATGGGACGGTAGACATGTTTTTTTTTTGGGGGGGGGGGGGTGTGGGGGGGGGGGGGGTGGGGGTGGGGGGGGGTGGGGTGGTTTTAGTTTAGATTTTTTCCTCCCCGGAGAGGGGTGGGGGTACTTGAAATTTTCGGTGGCGGGGGTAGAATTTTCGGGGAGGGGGCGGACACTGTAAACAGTATATAATTATATTTCGTTGAATGGGACGGTAGACATGGGTTTTTTTTGGGGGGGGGGATGGGGGTGGGGGGTGGTGTGTGTGTGTGGGGGGGGGGGGGGTGGGGTGGTTTTAGTTAACTCCATTGCTCAGTCAGGATAAAACAGGCTGTTTTTAAATGCGGACCACACCGGGTGACCCCATTTAGGGGAGTGACACCAAGAAAAAAAAAGGCAAAATGTATACAGAAAAATGATAATTCCACTTAAATAATAATTAGAGTGAGTTAAATGGTCTTTTAAGAGGAAAGTTGACAAATCCCAACAAGCCCGCAGAGGGTGGGGAGGGGGGGATGACACAATGACGTAAACCTGCTAATGATAGAGAAAACACGCGACAACCAGCTGAATTTATCATCGACTATAGATAAAAATTGTTGTTAGTGTTATCTGAGCACAGATTGTGCACTTCTTGTGCAGTTGGGCTATAGAAGTTTATGGCAAAACCATTTTTTTGAGAAAACGACTCACTACTGCAGAACATCCATAAGTCAATCATTTTTATAAATTTTATTTTACTTGTAATTGATAAAAAATAGTAAAACAAGTGTTTAAAATGTCAAATGTTTCTTTTGTAACTGGAGTCCTAACAAGCAAAAGTTGTCTGACACTGACCATCTACCTGGCAGGTACAGGCTTTGGAGCATCACAAGAGAGGAAAATACACTCCAGCATTCAAAACACATTGGCCTCATTGAAATTTACAAATTTACATACAGAAAGTGTTGTTAGAAAAACAATAATAATAAAATTTGCCACACACTTTAGCCATTTTAATTCTTTAAATGTTCATATTACAATTTGTAATAATTCACTACATTAGAATTTACATTACAAGGCTATTTTTTTAATAGTAAGGAATATAAAATTAAATAACAACTAGTCAAAAATTACATTAGTTAAAACTAAGATACCAAAATGTAACAATTGCAGCTTAAGTCTTTCTTTTCTTCAAGTTCTTAATTTTTGCTGTTTTTGTAAAAATTTAAATGTTAATTTACGACATTGAAATGTGCGGTTAATCTTTAAATTGTATAGCCTAAATGAATATGTGAAGAAAATTATTTTATACTCTTTTCAATCACATAGCATGCAGAGAGGAGTCTGAGATTTGGCATAAAGTTCATATTGAGAAGGTGTGAAGAAAGATAAAATCTATATATAACAGGTTACAGTTGCATTTAAATAAAATTAAAAAAAAAAAAAAAAAACATTTAGCAAAAGTAAGGAAGTGAACATAAGCCTTAGCAATGGTTGAAGCAACATGAAACTTGGGGTTAGTTCCATAAGACATGTAAATAGTGGGGAGGGAGAGGAAGTTTTAACATATGGTCTGTTTGAGTTATACATTGCATCCAGTAGAGTTTGATCATATGATTTGTGATTCTATACCTCTAAATATAATGATTAAAAAGGCATTTAGCTAAGGATGAAAAAGTTTTTACAAAAAAAATTGCTGTCTGCTCAGAAGTTTTGATGTCACTGTAGGCCTACCTGTTGGCCAGATGCCATTGTGACTGCTGGCCTGTTGTCATTGTACTTGTCTAATGCAGGTTGTTTTACCTGTCAACATGATATTCATGTTGCTGTATGTCTGATTGAGCTGTTTGTGAGTAGTGTAAATGAGAATTGTTTAACAGTAGGGCCTACATATTGTAAACATCTAGTAAATGTAAATAAATGAATTGAACTTGAACAGCGTGTTTTATTTTAGTTAGCCTCTGTTATTGTTAATGTGTAATTGGTTTCATAAGGTTTGGCTAACTTCCTTATCTCAATGAATGCGCATTGTCAATTTTATATAATCTGAAACAGGCAAATTAACTGTGTGGCCTGAACAAAACCATGCTGGTACAAAAATAAAACCATGGGTCTCTAAAGTGATAGCTTACTTCTCCTATCATACATATATACAAATAACACAGAAAGAAGTAGGATACATAAAGAAAAAAATGTACACATGCAGCTGACAATAGGATGCTATTTCCTTTTACAGTCAGAATACAATTTCTTTTTAGAGTATGTATAATAATTGACGAGGTATACTCTTTGACAAAAGAACCTTTTTATAACATAAATATTTATTAACTAAGGCCCACTATTGGAAGTTATGTGCAGAGAAAAATTATAAGAAATTTAATAATAATAATAAAAAATGACTTTAAATTGGTTTTAAGTTATGATGAATTTCTTTGACTATATAAAGTAAATTTAAAAGAAAACATTTCCTTACCAACATCACATTCCTCTGTCTTACATGTAGAATGAATTTTTTAAGAGTATTTAAATTTGAGAAAATCATTTGTGTAAAACATCATTTAGACTACAACTTCTAGAAAACCTTTAATGACATATACCACTTTCATATAGCTTGCCTCATGAATGAACATTTTCATGTGCACTTAATTAAAAACGTTGAGAAAACCATTTACGGCCAAAAAAAGTTTTTTATGTGTATTTAAACTATTCTGAGTAAATCATTTAGGATTAACATCAAATTCATATGGCTTTTTTCCCAAATGAACAAAATTGTCTTAATAAACCACACTTACAAGCAAACTTTATAGGACAAACATCACATTCATATGTGGCCTTTCATCTGAATGAATCTTTTTTGTGTTCTTAAATTAGAATATTGAGAAAACATTATATTAAACATCACATTCATGTGGTTAATCTCCTAAATGAACCTTTTTATGTGTTCTTAAATGAGAACTATTTGAAAATCTTTTCAGACAAACATCACATTCATACGGCATATCTCCAGAATTAAATAACTATACTGAGTAAATCATTTAGGACAAACATCTAATTCATATGGCTTTTCCCCCCCAAAAGAACAAAATTTTCTCTTAATAAACCACATTTCCAAGCAAACCTTATAGGACAAACATAACATTCATCATGATTCAGATGGCCTTTCTGAATGAATCTTTTTATGTGTTCTTAAAATAAAATTTCTAGAAAATCTTTTATGACAAACATCACATTCATGTGGCCTTTCACCTGAATGAACCTTTTTATGTCTTCTTAAATAAGAACTATTTGAAAATCTTTTCAGACAAACATCACATCATATGGCTTATCTCCAGAATGAACAATTTTATGTCGTAAGAGATCCTGCATATCCACAAATTTTTTAAGACAAACATCACATTCATGTGACCTTTGTAATGAATGAACTTTTTAATGCTGTAATAGATTATTCTTATTTGCAAAGATTTTATGTCAAACATCAAAATTATACACCTTTTCTCCTGAATGAATCTTTTTATGTTTACCTAAGTTAGAACTTCGAGTAAACCTTTTATGACAAACATCACATTCATATGGCTTATCTCCAGAATGAACATTTTTATGCATTTTTAAAACAGAAATTCTAGAAAACCTTTTATGACAAACATCACATTCATATGACTTTTCTCCAGAATGAACATTTTTATGCATTTTTAAAACAGAAATTCTAGAAAACCTTTTATGACAAACATCACATTCATGTGCCTTTTCTCCTGAATGAACTTTTGCATGTTCTTTTAAATTACAATTTTGAGAAAATCTTCTATGACAAACATCACACTCATATGGCTTATTTCCAGGATGAACATTTTTGTGTCGTAATAGATGTGTATTCCGACCAAACTTTTTATGACAAACATCACATTCATGTGGCTTATCTCCAGAATGAACATTTTTATGTATTTTTAATTCAGAATTACTAGAAAACCTTTTATAACAAACATCACATTCATGTGGCCTTTCTCCTTAATGAACCTTTTTATGTTCTCTTAAATGAGAACCATGAGAAAACCTTTTATGACAAACATCACATTCATGTGGTTTATCTCCAGAATGAATCTTTTTATGTCTTCTTAAATTAGAACTTTGAGTAAACTTTTTATGACAAACATCACATTCATGTGTTTTATCTCCAGAATGAACATATTTGTGTATACTTAAACTAGAACTTTGAGAAAACCTTTTATGACAAACATCACATTCATGCGGCCTTTCTCCTGAATGAACGATTTTATGGTCTCTTAAAGTAGAACTTCTAGAAAACCTTTTATGACAAACATCACATTCATGGGGCTTATCTCCTGAATGAACTTTTGTATGTTCTTTTAACTTAGAACTATATAAAAATCTTTTAAGACAAATATTACATTCATATTCAGAATGAACAATTTTATGTCGCAATAGACCATTCTTATCTGCAAACCTTTTATGACAAACATCACATTCATATGGCTTATCTCCAAAATGGACATTTTTATGTATTTTTAAATCAGAATTTCTAGAAAATCTTTTATGACAAACATCACATTCATGTGGCCTTTCACCTGAATGAACCTTTTTATGTCTTCTTAAATGAGAACTATCTGAAAACCTTTTCTGACAAACATTACATTTATGTGGCCTTTCACTTGTATGAACCTTTTTATGTCTTCTTAAATGAGAACTATTTGAAAATCTTTTCAGACAAACATCACATTCATATGGCTTATCTCCAGAATGAACAATTTTATGTCGTAAGAGATCCTGCATATCCACAAATTTTTTATGGCAAACATCACAATCATATGCATGTTCTACTGTATGAATCTTTTTATGTTGATTTAAGTTAGAACTTCGAGTAAACCTTTTATGACAAACATCACATACATATGGCTTATCTCCAGAATGAACATTTTTGTGATATGACAAATTTATCTTCTGACTAAACTTTTTATGACAAATATCACATTCATATGGCTTTTCTCCAGAATGGACATTTTTATGTATTTTTAAATCAGAATTTCTAGAAAATCTTTTATGACAAACATCACATTCATGTGGCCTTTCACCTGAATGAACCTTTTTATGTCTTCTTAAATGAGAACTATCTGAAAACCTTTTCTGACAAACATCACATTCATGTGGCCTTTCTCCTGAATGAACCATTTTATGTTCTCTTAAATGAGAACTTTGAGAAAACCTTTTAAGACAGACCTCACAATTATATGGCTTATCTTTAGAATGAACATTGTTATGCATATTACTTTCAGAACTTTGAGAAAATGTTGGATTATAATAAACAATTTTATTTCCGTTGTCCCTAGACAATTGTAGATTTTCTTCAAGTCCATTTTCTTGTTTATCCTCAAAAAATAAAAATTCTGTTGTGAAATCTTGTTTTAAATTTTCAGTAGGTGATAGTTCTGGTTTTAAATTTTCAGATGTTGAAAATACTGCTGATGCAGCTGGTTTCTTATTATTATTTTCAATTGAACATATAATTTCAGGTTTTACATCTTGAGAAGTATTAAAATACATGTTAGGTTTTATATCCTGAACATTAAAAAATGATAATTCTGGTTTTATTTTTATGTCATTAGAAGAAGAAAATTCTGAATTAATATCAGGTTTATCATCTTGAGAAGGTTTAAATGACATGTTAGGTTTTATATCCTGGAAATTAATAAATGTCAATAATTCTGTTTTGATGCCAGCAGAAGATGAAGATATGGCTGATAGATCTGGTTTCAAATCTTCAGAAGTTGAAAACTCTGTCAATTCATTTGACTGTATATCTACAGTAGATGAAACTGCAGCTAACACATCTGTTTCCACCTCCATGCTGGACAGCTTCTTAGATATGAACTGATGATTTAAAAAATGTAAATGTTAAACTGGTGGTTAAATAACCAAAACAACATATTACTAATAACATGGCAAAATTTGTAACACATGCCAGACTTTTGTCTTGTCAGTCTGATTACTAATGATTACTCAGTCAGATTTATAAATTTACTTATCAAGACCTACACTATGAAATGTATACAATTTTCTCGGTCAAACTAATGGATAGATTGCACACACATGACCAAAACCACATGATGTTTACATCCGCCGCCATGTTGATGCCCTAGCCTAGCACTGGACTTCTCTATGTATTTTGTATTGCTAGTCCCTAAGTTTTTTTAAAAACAAGCCACCCACAGAACAGTAACAATATTAAAAATTTGAAGGAACTTAAATTATTCAGGAACCTATTTTTTAATTTTTGTCCAGCTGATAGACAATATGAATATAATAAATAACTGTAAACACCTATTGGAATCTATCCAATCAAAAGTGAAAGCCACAACTATCATTGTTTTTGAAACATGGCCACTGCTTGTATTTACTCATTGTTGTCTCGAACGGGGTAGTTTAAAGTTTATTCCAGGATATTTTAGGCTGGTTTGGTCATAGATTGTGATTTGTTATTCAATTATCTGTTATATTATGTAAAATATGTAATAAATATGGCCAAATAAAAGAAATATTCATTAGTTACCTCCATCGCACATTAATAGCTAGTAGCTACTTTGGAAATTATGATGCTAAACTAAGGTTTTACCGAGAAGAGTTATGATGACTATTATTGATTAATATTATTATTATGAGATCTCATCCAACTTTCTCAGCCATTGGCAAAATTTACCCCACTAAGTCTAAGTCAGTACTACTACTACTACATTAACTACACTACTTATACTACACTGAGTCACACTCCATTGATAATCCGGTTTTTAAATACTTAAATGTAAGCTCGAAAAAACGTTTTTTTAGCGCAATTTCCATTCTGGAGAATTGCGTTTATTAACTCGTCATTTCTGGGAATGTATGGATGTGTGTCCGCAGCTTTAAGTCGTATCTCCTCCTGAACGAAGCAATATCGAGGACTAGTTCCAAAAGCAATTATGTTAAGCAAGTTACGAGGATGAACATAGGCCAAAAAAATTCAGGGTTTATTTGATGGATTTCCCGGAAAAGCCAAAAAACCTCGATAAAATGCAGTTTTTGGCCCATATCTCGGCAACCAGACCACTTAGCGACTTGAAACATGTACCAATCGATTCCTGCCATAATTTTGAACAATATTGCCGAAGAAAGTTTTCAAATATATCCTTTCGTTCGGTCACAATTTTTTTTTTTAATTAATTAAAATTTGGACCGAATTAGTAGGCATGTTTATCCAACCACACCACACGCGTCATCACGTTCAATAGCTGCGCCATCACGTTCAATGGCTGCGCCATCACGTTCGTTAGCTAGGCCCGCAATGGTTTTTAGTCATGTAACTCTATTGTAAATAAAACATGTAAAATACTGAAAAAAAATTAATAAAAAACGTTTTAATAACTAACCAATGGTTTTACTAACCCTGCTCTTGATTTACGCTACGACAGAGCTATTTTTAGATAACATAAGGAAATTGCGCTAAAATTGTCACTAGACTTTTTAATTACCTTGTTTTACTCTGGGGAAGTGTTTTATTATTACTCAATCAATCAGTCCGTCAAAGCCCATCCCACCTTTTCCGGAATCGGCGTTTAGATTATAAAATGGCATCCTTGGAGGTTTAATATTAGCAAGACTCACTAACTTGAAAGCGTCCTTGGTTGCTAACCAGAACATGGCTACCACACCTTGGCCTAAGATTGGGCAATTTTTTCTGCTTTGTTCGAGAGACCACCTTAACATTAACTTTAAAAATAATTAAAAAAAAAAGGCCATTTTTCGCGTATTTTAAGCAATCTGAAGATGACAAAACTATTATTGGCAGATTTTTTTTTTTTTTTGCTTCCCACATTGAAGGTCAAACGTAAACATGGGTACAGTTTGAGTAGCTTAATAACTTTAAATAATGGTCTCTAAGGTGTCAAAACTGCATGCCTAGGTCAAGTATTATTAGACTGATCGTTTAGTGAAAAAAAATTGTAATTATTATGTTCTCCTTTTAAGAAATCGGCATCGCAAAAAGGTCAATGAAAGCACGTAATTTTTTATTGTGTCGTCATCGCTATTGTTACGGAAGCTGTACATCCTCTCGCTGCTTATATAATTGTGTTTTCTTTTCACTTGACACTCTTTTTCAGCTTATTTTGCTAGTAAATGAGCATGGTTGCATCTATTGGAAATGTCGCTAGTCTTCATTTATTACTGAAAAGTTTTAATTCAATTGTTTAAAAACAGGTACATAAATAAAACAAAGAAACATTTTTGTATTTTTCAAAACATAAATCCTCCTCAAAATGTGAAATAATTATTAAAATTTAAGGAGTCACCCATTTTTCACATTACAAGTCTCGGGCGATTTTACGTACCCAAAACGATAGATTACCCAATCTAATAATACTTGACCTAGGCATGCAGTTTTGACACCAAAGAGACCATTATTTAAAGTTTTAAGCTACTCAAACTGTACCCATGTTTACGCTTGACCTTCAATGTCGGAAGCAAAAAAAAAAAAATCTGCCAAAAATAGCTTTGTCATCTTCAGATTGCTTAAAATACGCGAAAAAAACGCCATTTTTCGCGTGATAATTATTTTTAAAGTTAATGTTAAGGTGGTCTCTCGAACAAAGCAGAAAAAATTGCCCAATCGTAGGCCAAGGTGTGGTAGCCATGTTCTGGTTAGCAACCATGGACGCTTTCAAGTTAGTGAGACTCGCTACTATTAATATGGTCGTCTGTACGGGCAATGGTTTGATCGACTGTTGACTTATTATACAATTCTATTTTTATATCATAGTGAAGATGTTAGTCTTTAGTATTATGTACAAATAAAAAAGTCAATAATACACGCACCTGCTTTAGTTTATTTTGACTTCAAGCACAAGAGTGACTTTCCCTCGTCCGCCTCGTGAAAGACAAAGAAAGAAATCAGGTAAAGCTAGCATTATTAAAATGTTAATTATTAGCCCCGTAATTACATGGGCAGTTTCGATACAAATCTATCCGATTACGATACGATCCTTATTTATAAGTATCATGTACTTCAAGAGAAAGAAATGATTCGATATTTTATGTCCGCCCAAAACACGGTGGCTACGAAACCGCGAGAACGAGAATTCATGAATCGAAAAGCCTAGTATAAAGTAGATCTAATAAAGTACAAATGTTTTTTTAAAAAAGTTTGATCTTTCTGCATAATCGGAAATGATCAGAAATGAGTCTCAATCTCTACTTAACTACTTAACTAACTACTAGATCTAGATTCTAACTACTTCACTTTATTAGTATTAGTAGGCTACTAGATCTAGTACTAGATCTAGGTAATCCCTTAGTTTAGCGTCGGTTATTATTCCGGAATCGTATAGCAGTAAAAAACAGTAAAACAATGCCAAAGTCTGTCACACACTTCCGGAATTCACCGGAAGTACCGTAAACCATACTTTATTTGGCGTCTTCTTTTATTTTTACACAGAATGTTTAAAATTTGGATATATTTATTTTTGTAATCATTTTTACTATTTTCGTAATCTAGATTTTTTACTTGGCCTAGCAGCTAGATATCGAGCTAGATCTAATTAATTAATGGTCGCAAATCCGCTGCAAGCCAAAAACATTAAATTATTACATTTGATACATTATTTATATTTATATTAATATGTTTTTATTTTTAGATCTACTAATTTAAATCTACTATTATATTTATTCTTGTTTCCTTTTGTCGATTAAACTTAAAAAATTAAAACATTAATTTACTACAATCGACTTTTAATTTATTTATATTTCAATGGTCAAATAAACCATGGTTTACCGTAACTCTAGTTACCGAAACTCAACAAACATTACCCGATAATTTCCGACGCTAAACTAAGGGATTACCTAGATCTAGATAGCTAATAGGCCTGCTATTTAATATTTAAAAAAAAAATTATTATATTTATTTACAAACTTACTAGACTACTTCTAGATCTAGATCTAGGCCTACTAATTTAAAAAATAATACTACATGACACATGAAGTATTTTGTTAGAATATTAGGTAAAACCTTAGTTTAGCGTCGGTTATTATTCCGGGATGGTATAGCAGTAAAAAAATAGTAAAACAATGGCAAAGTCTGTCACACAGTTCCGGAAGTACTGTAAACCATACTTTATTTGGTGTCATCTTTTATTTTTAATACAGATCGTTTAAAATTTGGATAGATTTATTTTAATTGCGTGTTAAATATTATTATTCATTTTGTATAACTAGTTATTTTTAAGTGTTTCAGCTAAATATTTCTGCTACTAAATATTGTTTAACAGGATTTGTACGCAGTCTGGAAAAAGTCTTGAATTTAGAAAAGTGAATTTCATCAGACTTTAAAAAGTCTGGACGGGTCTACACTGTCTGTGAAATGATGTTTTTCGCTGGATATCACAGAAGAAACCCGATTTCTCAGTTACTACGTCATTGGGGGAGGGGGGGGGGGAGGGGGAAGTGTAAGACCTGTCTTTTTGTTGTTGTTGTTGCGTGACTGACCGTGAAAATGTTTAGGGCTAGACTAACCCGCCCCTCCTAGTAACTAAGGTCACTGATAATAATCACTGATATCTAAACGTGTATGAACTCACTGTGACCCCAAGTACGTAGATGGTGCTGTTTAGCTAGATGAGGGAGGTGGGGGGAATAAAAGTTACGGTACAGTTCATGATATGTCGTATTAGACTGGGCTACTGTGACCTCACAGTGACCCCTCCACCGTCTCTTGTTGTGTGTGTTTGGGAGGGGGGATACCGGTGGTTTTTAATAGCAGACAAAAGTTTCTCAGCTATAACCACAACATGGTTACAAAGGTCTTGTTTCATTTTCAAAATAGGGTACGAACCGTTTCTAGTCACTTTTACTATTTTTGTAATCATTTAATCATTTTTACTATTTTCATAATCTAGATTTTTATTTACTTGGCCTAGCAGCTAGCTAGATCTAGATTTAATTAATTAATGGCAACAAATCCGCTGCAAGCCAAAAACGTTAAATTATTACATTTGACTTCATTATTTATATTTATTATATTAATATATATTTCTTTTCTTTTTTAGATCTACCAATTTAAATCTACTATTATTCTTGTTTCCTTTTGTCGATTAAACTTTAAAAAAATTAAAACATTAAAAAATTAATTTGCTACAATCGACTTTCACTTTATTTATATTTAAATATATTTCAATGTTCAAATAAACCATGGTTTACCGTAACTCTAGTTACCGAAACTCAACTAGGCTAACATTACCCGATAATTTCAGACGTTAAACTAAGGTTTTACCAAATATTACTTGTTATTAGTTTGTAATTGTAATATACTTTTGGGTAGGCTATAGGCCACTATAGGGTGATTAATACTGCTAAGAGTCTATACATTTATAGTATATCTATAGGTAATCTATCATCATTTAAGTACGTAAAATCGGCTGGCTAGTAATGTGAATGGAAGGTGACTCATTAATTTTAGTAATTATTGGGAGGATTTATGTTAGTTCACACCCAGTGACTGATTAAAACGCCCAGTGCTCTTGATATTTTTACGTTGAGTGCAATCTAAAAATAGGTAGCCTATCAGGAGTATAGTATTGATAGTATTGGTAACTATTAATTTTAATAATTTATAGGCCTAAATCAAAATTATAAAAATTCTAGCCTAAAAAAAGTTTCATCACAAATGTGTCAAATACATAATTGAATCATAGAGTAATAGTAAGTAATATAACTAAAGAAGAGTGTAAATTGTCAAAATAGAATTTTCAAATGTAGCTGTTATAAAATATTGTTTGTATTTCCCTGCAAGGACTACAAAAATATTTCTCCTTCAGACTTTTATTAGAAGAAACATTAGTTGTCAGTAACATTTTCTGTCATTACTAATATTACAAGAACTTCACATTTTTAATTTAAAATAATTAAAGAGTATCAAATATTTCTCTTTCAGCTCTAACTGTTTGATCAAGTGAATACATCCTATTAATTTAATAACTCTAGTGTTATAGAACAAAAGAAAATGAGAGAGCAAGTAGGTCACTGTGACATCTGTTCATGAACATTTTCATCTTTTGAAAGATTACAAACACATTGGATTAAAAAGCACACGTAAGTGCAAGCCATAGGCTGTTGTTTTTGTGATTTTATAGTTGCAGAGGAGCCGTTGTTCGCTACACATAAAAAAGAATTTCATCCAAAGGATAGGATGGCGTGTGAGTTTTGTGCTTATACCACCAGGAAATGGAGTAAGCTGAAAAAACATCACATTAAAGTTCATGTGGCTTTCTATAAAGAAAACATTGCTGCTGAATTACTAAAGAAAAACTTCAAAAAGAAAACAGTGTTATCTTCTTGTAAATTCTCAACAGATTACAGATTAACTTCTTCAAATTGTGGAAATGTTGAATTCAGATGCTCAATACTGAAGGAGAAAAAAAATTTATTATCAACTAATGAAAAGACAGCTGAGTTGTACCCCACTATATTCAAACCGTGTGAAAAATTGCAGATAAATCATAAAAATCAAACAACTGGACCTCAAAAGTTACAGTTATATGAATGTGCCCTGGAGAATTGTAAAACTTGTCAACTATACCATAATGGTAAACAGAGAGGCAGCGAGCCTCCAGCTGAGAATTTTGTGTGTGACATTTGCCAAAAAAGTTTTAAAACCTTATCTCATTTGTCTTCTCATAAACTTGTGCACACTCCATTGAAATGTTATATATGTTGCCAGTGTGATAAAAGTTTTAACATTGGAGATGAATATGATCTACACTTAACAAGACATTTTAGGTTTAAACCATTTAAATGTGAATTTTGTGAAAAATGTTATGCAAATAAACGTTATCTTAAAGATCACATGAGATTGCATACTGGAGAATCAATTCACAAATGTGAGAAATGCAATTACATAACACCTCATCTGTCTCGGCTAAAACAACATCAAAAGATTCATCTAAACCTTCAACTAGTTGATGGTGTTGAAAATGTACAAACTTGTGATATTTGCCAGAAAAGCTTTGTTTCTTTAGCTCATCTGTTGCCCCATCAACCAATGCATACACCTTTGAAGCTTTACATATGTAGTCATTGTGGTAGAGGCTTTAACTTACCAGAAGAATATGATCTGCACCTTCTAAAGAGACATTTCATGTACAGACCTTTCAGATGTTCATTGTGTGAGAAATCTTTTACCATCAAAAAAAAATTTAAGAGTTCACATGAGCATACACACTATGGATTTAATGTATAAGTGTTCAAATTGTGAATGCACATCAAATGATAAAAGTCCTTTCTCAGAACATAGGAGAGTTCACATGAACAGTAAGCCTTTCACATGCAATGCTTGTGACTATTCAACAGCTTCTAAAAGTTCTCTAAGAGGTCATTTAAGGACTCACTCTGGTGAGAAGCCATTTTGTTGCAACCTATGTGACAAACGATTCAGTCAACGTGTACATTTAATCTCACACAAACGGCATATTCATCTAGTTTAACCATACTACTGAAGACACACTACGAACAGTGTTATGACGTGTAGTTAATCAATGTATGTTGGTGTTGGTGTGAAAGATATAATGATGACATAATGATGAAAGATAGGGACGTTTTGTGTAGAAACTGGTTGCTGTGTATTGTGTGTGTGAGTTAATACTTAGTCTTGGTGAGAGGGTGTATATGACCAGTGTGACTCAGTCAGTAGCGTGAATTGTGAGACATCCATGTGGATGACGATTATAAGCAGAATGTGTTTAATAAATATCAGAAGAAAAACCTTTTTTCATCTTGTCAATAAATTGTCACCCGTGTCGTCTAGACGTGTAATGGTATAATGACTGCCTATGTTGTCTGATATTCTCACATGGTAATGAACCAAGTAGTTCAACCCTCTCACAATCGAAAAATATATTATAAAACTGATGTGACTGAAGAAATGTAAATTTATGCTGCAATTTTTTTTATTGACATTGGTGTAAAAACACTGGTGTTTTTTTTTTTTGCATGCCTCCAATTCTGTTTATACCCAATCACAGTTACATGATGGGGGGGGGGGGGGGGTTGTAAAATGTTTAATCTGCTCAAGTTACAGCTATTTCCAACAGTGGGCTTGTGTCTCTTTCAATGCCATCATACTGTAAAGTTTTTTTTTTTACTTTTTAAAAGTTTTTTTATATCTGCTTGTCACATATCAAGAAATGTATTGTGTTATTTATTGGAAGTCTGTGTTACCTTCTTTCTATTTGAAGCTTATCTGAAGTTTTGGTAACTGTATTTTCTTATATAACTAGTAATTTGATTTATGTTGACACATTTACTAGTAATAGTTAAGTCGTTTAGGCTTTTATGTTCTTGTCTTTAACATATGATAAAGCTTTTCTATTGCTTATGATACACATTGAAATTTATTGGACACATAAGAAAATAAACTTGTTAATTAACAGTTCTTCTGAAATATCTGCAGCTATGTAACACCTCGTCAATCTCTGTTGAGGCTACATCATAGGATTAATTTAAACCCATAACAAGACAAATGGTGTTGAAAAATTACACACTTGATTCTTGATGTCATCTTATCAACTTTAAATGTAATTATCAAACCAATACAGCATTTTGATAGTAGTGACAGTTTAATTTTGGATGATGACTGTTACACTTGCTTTTCTTTTAAACTTTTAATATTATTTAAGTTATTTATTTAAGTTCCAGTAAATTATCAAACTTTATTTAAATTACCACAAGTTCTATCAATTTTAAAAAGCATTAGTATTTTGCACAATTAAGGTCTTAATTTTTTGTACTGGGCTTTGTGCATCAGTAGAAGTGATGTCACAATTAGCAGTCTTTTAACACTATCTTAACCAAATTCTCCTCTTTATTTCTAAAGAGCTAAATTACACAAATATTTTTCTTTTTTAAATTTTTTTTTTTTAAATTTACATTAATTTGGTTTTAAATTGTAAATTAAATAGTTAAATTCTGTCTAATCTGAAATATATGCCTATTTCTGTTTTTTTTTTTTTTTTTACCTGTTGGATTCTTTAAATTTGTTAATTATGTTTATAAATTTTGACATAAATTTTTTCTCAGATGTAAACATTATTGTTGAGATTCATTTCTAATTGCGTTTATGTTGAGGTTGTATTTTTCATATTGTATGTGGCCAGCTATTAACTCTTTTGTTAAATAAACTAATAGTATTTACAAAATTAAGTCTCAAACTTGAATGCAGGTTAAATTAATGTATGTGCCAGTATGTGGCATGTGGTTAAATAAACTAACAGTATTTACTAAAATAAGTCTCGAGTTTGAATGCAGGTTAAATTAATGTATGTGGCATGTGGTTAAATAAACTAACAGTATTTACTAAAATAAGTCTCGAGTTTGAATGCGGGTTAAAGTCAGTAGAACGTTCCAGAGTTCGCCAAGCTCTAATGTGTACCTGACTCACATTATGGAAAGCAAAGACGGCTGGGCACCCTTTAGGAGCTGAAGTCTCTGAAAAATGAACTCTACTTCATGTTCTTGGACACAAAAAGAAGATGGTGATGATTTACATAAAGACTAAGAACAAATGCCCCACGTTTTTCATCGCTTATAGTAGAGTGATCGCTTGCATTATTGTGATGTATAGCATTTATTTTCTACTTTTTAGTTAAATCAGAAAACGTGGGTTTTTTTAAACTTTTTTAATGATTATTATTAAACCATGTGACCGCTATTTGATGATCACTAGTGGGGAACTCAGGGTACATGGCCACTTAAAATGTCTAACCTGATTTGTGGTTTTTTTTGATGTTGCGGTGGGTGGTGAGGTCGTTGGAACAGTTAAAGGGATTGTGGGGTTATCATGTCTGAGGGTAAAGTGGATAGAGGGGGAGAGAGGAGGGGGTAGATTTTTTTTATTTTTATTAATTCAATTGTTTTAAACATTTAAATCAGTAATAGTAATATATTTGATAGATTTTACATAGCATCAAAGACATGAACAATGAACATCAATTGCATATATAATAATCAAAGGGAAAAAATAAAATGGCATAAGAACTAGATTAAAATAAGGTGTGCAAACTAGGTTTCTCTTCACTGCTTAGTTTAGTGTGCTGCGGAGTCAAAAGTTCACATCGTAGCCACCCATGGACAGAAATAGAAACGACCTTGGGAGAAGTGTCTCTGTAATCATGTACTGATCTATCATTCCAAAACTTTCCATGACATAAAATTGACCCTTGGCAATGAGGGCACGGCACGCTACCTTGAAATGTCCGCCAGTCCGGTTGAATGGGGGGGGGGGGGGGGGAAGTGTGTGTGTGTTGGGGGGGGGGTTGAGGTGGGTATCTCTTTCTACCATTTAGGTTGTGCATTTTAAAACCCGGGAAACAGAAGACTGTTCTACTGTTAATTTACTTGGGGGCTGATCGAGTGATGTTTGGCTTGAGACTGTCTAAATTAAAATTAATACTTTGTTTATTTCTTTCCTGTATATTTCTTTTATGTCTCAGTTAAGTGAGAGTTCCCAGTCTATGTCTTAGCTTTGCTTGAAATATTTCTTTTAACTCGATGTCCGTGTATTTTGTGAAAAAATATCTGACTTTGTTCCTAATTTGCCAAATAGTCGATCTATAAATAGCCGTTGCTACTAGTCTGTTCTCGTCTTCTGTTCTTTGTCTAGTCGTGTTAATTAAATTAAGTGTGATTGCTTTATTTGTTGTGGCTGTTTGATTGGTGGTGTTTAATATTTTCGCAAGTGTTTGCTTTGTTTTCTGTACTAATATACAATCTAAATAAATGTGTTTCTCAGTTTCTTGTATATTTTGTTTACACGTTTGACATGTTATTTTAACATTTTGATTTGACTTTGTATTTCGTGAAACTGGAGTTGTGTTAAAAATCAGTCTGTATGCTACTTCCCTTTCTTTTGGTGTAATGCGTTTATTATGTAGGTTTCTAAATGTATCTTTAATGTCTATTATATTGTGTTCCCTGGCCCAACTAATTCTCGTGTATAAGGGTGTCGCTTGTTGTTTGATTAGGATGTCGTATATTTTTTTTGTGTCTTCCCCAATAATGCTTTTGTTTCCTTGGAATGTTGCTAGCGTTTCTTTATAAAAGCTGCCTATGTCATTTCCCCCATAGTGTGGTGTTATGATGTTTAATTTTAAAATGCTCTTTATGTTTAACCCAATGTAGTATTGTGCTAATGGATGATAATGTGGTTCTATCCTTATTCTATCCAGGTGTTTTAATCGGAAGGTGTTTATTTTAGTTTGAATGTCGTGTAGCCCTATAGGCCTACCTCCATTTAATTTATTTTGTATTAAGGTTTTGTGGCTAATGTTTCTAATCGTATTTTTGAAAATGAACTCTCTAATGTGCTTGTTTGTTTTTTTAATAAATGAGTTGGGTATTGTAGAGTTCGTCGCAACGAAAATTATTTTTGGAATGATATATCTGTTTACTAATACAGCTCTGGCAAAAATGGTTGTATTGCAGTATTGGTATTTTTCCAGATTGTGATTTATTTTATTTTTCAGTGTGGTCCAAGTTTCTTGGTCGTTTATTGTGGGATCGCTAGTATAGGTTATTCCATAAATTTTGAGTTTGTCAGTTATTGTTATGTCTATGTGATAGTTATCTTTACCTTTCCATTTACCTATACCCATTACTTTTGATTTTTCTGCGTTTATTTTTCCCCCGCTCCCTTTCCCAAAGTTGTTGAATTTTTCTATTACAGTCTGTATTGCTTTTTCTGTTTGTACTAAGAAAGTAGTGTCGTCTGCGTATGCAAGTATTTTCTTGCCTACCGTGTTTGGAATGTACAGTCCTTTAATCGAGTTGTCCTGTCTAATGTTTTCTAGCAGAACTTATTTAAAGTTCTAAATCTTGTCTCTTTCCCCTCATCTTTCACACTGCAATCTTTTGAAAACTCAATGCGACCACTACAAAACCCTTTCAACTAGTCAACTTAAGTTGTTTCCCTACATAGAAAATGCTTCACTGTCCCATTGACCCTCTCTAAAAAATTTCCTTTCCTCTCCCCACCCAGACTTCTGACACTTTCATTTGACCTTCACCCCTTTTACTGTCATCCTTTGCAATTTTTTTTATAATCAAATACATGACATCATGTAAATATTCATTATGTACATTAGCAAAACCTTTCGTTTTCATTTGGTGTTCAAAATTATGTTAAAAAATTTGATGTTGATGTACTTGTTTTAATTGCAAATAAAAGTATTTAAATAAAAAAAAAAAAAATGTTATGAGGAAACAAAACAGTAAAAACAATTAAGCCTATCATGGTAAAAATACCTTTTTTTGTATTTCTATATTTCTAATAATCTTCATTTGAATTGTTGATCGACAAATCCTTTTTAGTAATGTTCACCATTTTGTTCATGTAATGATAATTTTTGTAAATGTTTGAACTATTTGCATATGCTGATGAAATTATTTCTATTTGAAAATAAAAGTATTTAAAAAAAAAAAAAAAAAAAAAAAAAAAAAAAAAAAAAAATGCTAATCATGTTTGCTGAACAGGAAAAAAAAAAAAAAAAAAAAAAAAAAAAAAAAAAATGATTTGTGGTTTTTTTTAGCTTCAAGCGTAAGAAGAGTTGTCATGGATAGATGTGTTGGGCATGGCAGTGAGTGTCAATGAATATTAAATTAAGTAATTTAGTTTAAAACGAACTAAAAACTTCAAAATTAGTGCCTAATGGATTAAATATGGATGTCTATCATTCAATAGTCGTGTTTAATTTGAAATTTGGGTAAATTCTAGATTTAGTAATAAAAACTATTAATTACATACCACTTCCAACAGTTAAGTGAGACACTAACCCTAATCCTAACCCTTGCCATAGGTCACTGCGCATGTGCAGAGCTATCTTTTGCCGACTAAGTGGAGACATTGGGGAGAAAAATCTTCTTCTGAGTAGTCACTTCAGAGAAAGTTAGATTAGAAGATCTCATAATATTAATAAATAGTAGGCCTAGTCATCATAACTCTTTTCTTAGCTAGTT